TCCGGCGGGCGGACTCGAACTCATCTCACACGCTCTCAACCTCATCGCGGGGCGTTTCGAGGTGCTTCAAGTGGAGGACGCCTCCGACTTTCGCACGGCGAAGCGCTTTAAGCTGTACCAGCAGAAGAGCCTGCTGACTTCTCGACCCTTCAAGCAGGCGGTCGCGGACATGGCGGCGATGGACCGTGCGGCAAGCGGATACGCTTGTGTCAACCGCGGCGGAAACAACGGGCCGATGCCGTTCTTACCCAAGCGAGGCCCCCCGCCCACGGCCAATTGCCGTGGGTTCCGGGGCTCATGCTTCCGCTGCGGCCAGCCGGGCCACGTGGCAAGTGCCTGCCCTCGGAACGGGCATGGAGGCCAGGGACCCGCTCCGGTGGTGTAGGAGCGGGCCATGAGACTAGGCGCTTGGGCGCTAGGCACGGTGCACTCTTGAGTGCGAAAACCGTGGGCAACCCTAGGGGTTTGCGATGGCAAGAGGCCAGCCCTAGTAAAGGGTGGGATAGGCTTGGGCCTAGGATAGGGAAGGGGAACAACAACCCCTCGGTCCCATATGTTGGCCACTTGGTGGCTTGCTAGGAAAGCATTGCTATGTGTGTTGGTTGATTTAATAAAAACTACCTTCCTAAAGGCCTATGGTTTTGGCAAAGAGACTATGAAAATCAAGAGGAGGAGCAGAGAGAGAGAGAGAGAGAGAGAGAGAGAGAGAGAGAGAGAGAGAGAGAGAGAGAGAGAGAGAGAGAGAGAGAGAGAGAGAGAGAGAGAGAGAAGAGAGAGAGAGAGAGAAGAGAGAGAGAGAGAGAGAGGGAGAGAGAGAGAGAGAGAGAGAGAGAGAGATAAGAGAGAATGAGAGAAAGCACAATGGACAACGGTGTCCATGGCCATAGGCATCAGCCCCTACGCACTAAGGGCAGGCACAACCATGTCCTACCAAGTGGACGACGGGGCAAGAAAAAAAAAAAAAAAAAAGGGGGAAACGAGGAGAAGAAGAGACATGCGTTGACATGCGTTAACATTCCCGACACATTCGTTGACATTTCATTCAATTGTTCACTCTCTTCACACCTTCGATCAATGGTTGCCCGTACAAGTACATGCACACGCATGCTTTAACGTGGAATACTCAAAGCTTATACCACTTGGCCTCAAATGTACAGGAGCACGACGGTGCGAGGCGGCATGCCACGACGATCCGTACGAATTTGCCGTTACAGACAGAACTATTACACACATGCGCGGTCGTCTTCGCGCGACATTTGCGTGGTGGAGCTCATGGTGCCCCAGCAGCCTTGTCCTCTCCGTCATCGCCAAGGGTTACTGGTTGCCATGGAGCCACGGCCCACCGCAACATTTCCACGATCGCAATCATGTCGGGGCAAACACGCATGCCACGTTCACACGTACCGCCATCCAAGAACTCATAGAGACAGGAGCGGCAATTCCGATGGCCGCAACGGAGCTTACATGCATAAGTCCACTCAACGTGGTCGAGCAAAAAGACAAATGCAGGCTCATTCTTGATCTGAGGAAAGTCAACGCCAACTTGATCATCCCCAAGTTCAAGTACGAAGGGCTCAGCCGCGTCGCCGACCTTGCGCGCGTTGGGGACTGGATGTTCTCCATTGACCTCAAATCTGGTTACCACCACATCGACATCCACCCATCGTGCTGGAAGTTCCTTGGCTTTGAATTTGATAAGCGCACATACGCATTCTGTTCACTACCATTTGGCCTCGCGACAGCTCCATTCGTTTTCACGCAGCTCATCAAGCAACTAGCTCGGCGTTGGCGAGAACAAGGCATCCGAGTCGTACCTTACGTGGACGACATCTTATTTCTCTGCCAGTCGAAAGAGGACGCGCAAGCAACTTGCCAGCGGGTGATATTGGATCTTAAAGAGGCAGGCCTTGTGATAAACGCGAAGAAATCACAACTGTCACCATCGCAGCGTCTCCGATTCCTGGGCGTAGAACTCGAGACCGATACCGGCCGATTCTCCATCGGTCCGGACCGACGAGCCTCACTACATGCAACCATCCGGAACCTCCTGAGCGCAAGCAAGGCATGCCGACCAGTCCCGGTCCGCCACGTGGCCAGAATCACTGGCATGCTCGCATCGATGGGTGTAACACTTGGCGCGACAGCTCGCGCATTCAGCCATGCTATGTTACAAGTGATCGACGACGCACCGTCATGGAAAAGCAGCGTCGTTATCCCCCCATCTGCAGCAGAAGAGCTCCAATTTTGGCTCGAGGAGTTCGACCGTTTCAACGGCGTACCTCTTCACGTCAAGAACAGCTACGACGCGGTAATCCAGCTCTCATGGTTGGGGCGCCACTCTGACCACATTTCCGGGTGGCATCGAAGAAGCTAGCGCAACCATGTCAGAGCCGCTACGAGGAACGTCCAGCACGCGACGGGAGATCGAAGGCGTCCTTTGGGCGCTACAAACGTACGCGAACAAGATCAAGCAAAAACACGTTCTCGTGCGGGTGGACAACCAGGGCGTATTCTTCATCCTTCGCAAAGGCGGCTCTCACAGCCCTGACCTCACAACGGCATGCAAGAGCATCATCCGAACATGCATGGCGCTTGGCACGCGCTTGATCATTGAATGGATTCCGCGCGAGCTCAACACACACGCCGACGAGCTTTCAAAAATGGTCGACCACGACGATTACGCGCTGAAAACGCCGTGGTTCCGGATCTTGGAACGTCGTTGGGGTCCTCACTCCATCGACCTTTTCGCAAACTCCCGCAACACCCAACTGCCGCGCTTCTGTTCAAAGATTCCCCACCCGGCAGCCATTGCAGTTGATGCGTTCTCGATCGCGTGGACACCTGAAAACAACTTCGCCTTCCCCCCACCTCAACTGGTCCCAGCCGTCCTCCATCACGCACAACGCACCCATGCATCACTCACACTGATAGTTCCGCACTGGCCAGGCGCAAGCTGGTGGCCACTCTTGCAACCCTCCCCACGCACTTGGGCACCACACATCCACGCGCACATCCCTCTGACACACGGAAGCCAATGCCTAGACGTAGGGTCCCATTCAACTGCTTTTTCGGGCATGGGACTACCGCACAGCCCAATCATTGCACTGCGAGTGGCATTTGACTAATTCAAAATATATACACCTTGTGTTCAGATTTGCTCCCAAAGTTACACGACCAACTGATCAACATGCTCGCGCAGTCCCGCGCGGATTCTACGATCCGGACATATGAACCATACTGGGCCAAGTTTCGAGCCTTCTGCACAAAAGTGAACCTTCCATTCCTCCCGGCATCCGACATGACCCTCGCGCTATACCTGGTACACGCAATCCGACGCAAAGCCACCCTGTCCGTAGTGCAGCTAACCTGCTCGGCGGTCAGCTTCGCCCATCGCATGACCGGGAGCAAATGCCCGACAACCGGACCGTTCACCACCCAAGTCCGTGACTATGCAAAGCGACACTGCCCACGCCCTACTCGTCTGAAGGAACCCGTCTCGATCCAACAAGTCCAGGAAATGGCCGCGAGCTACTTGAAGTCCGACGATCCTGCGCAATTTCAGAAAGGGTTGATACCCATCCTCATGTACTCCGGATTCCTGCGATACTCTGACCTAGTAGCCATAAAATGGCAAGACATCCAATTCGACGACGAGGTCATGTGGATTCTCATACCACACTCCAAGACCGATCAAGCTGGTCACGGCACTTGGATACCCATTGCAGCAACGGCGGACCCCTGCTGCCCAGTGCGCTGCACCCGACGCTTCATCCGACTCGCTGGCTATGGCCCACGGTCAGAGGGACCATTGATTCGTGTCTTCGGTCACGGTTCAACCAGCGAGGGCCAGGCTAGGCCACCTTCATACACTACGATCCGGAACTGGTGCAAGGAAGCCTTCGCAAAGGTTGGCCTTGGAGAGTTGCAGCTAGGCACCCATTCTTTCCGAAAAGGTGCAGCCACAGTAGCAGCCAACACGGGAGTGCCAGACAGAGTCTTCAAACGGCTGGGCAGATGGCGAAGCGACACAGCAAAGGAAATGTATGTTACGCCATACGTCGAGCCCCTCATCGAAGCCTCCCGTACCCTACAAGATTCGACGCATGCGGTGTCATCGGCGCAACACACAGAGGCACTCGTACGCAACCGGAGGCCCCCGCTGCCCATGTCTCAGAGACCCCATTTGTAATGAGAACGATGCCAATTGATAAGAAAGAAAGCAAGCTTTCTCAATATTATAATTTTTAAACACACATGTAGTGTTTTTTAAAATTGTGTATTGTGAAAGCGAAGCTGCTTGTACTGCACAATTGGCATCGTCGAAGCGCGCTAAACGCCCTTCTCCAACTACAAAAACCGTGGGTTGGAGCTCATTTCCCTCCACCCACGTTTCTCAATTTTCAAACGGCTCACTCAACATTCCCACCACCCACCCCAGTGTAAACCGCCTTGCTAATGCCACTTGGATAGGGTACATAATAGCTAGTGTTATTAGTCCGCACTAGCTTATGTCGAACGATGATGCAAATGTTGTAATACGCCATTTGTAATGAGAACGATGCCAATTGATAAGAAAGAAAGCAAGCTTTCTCAATGCATAAGTTTATGGCTCCAAAAAAAACCCTACCTTGCCTGCAAGCCAGCCAGCCCACCCCAATGCACATACCGCCGTATGTCCAACCTCGCGTCTAATCACATTCGCCTGAGCAAACACCTTCCTGGAAATATCAATTTTCTGCACCCCTTTTGGATCCTTCACTACCGTACTAGATTCCCCTCCATGGTCTTCCCAGCCCACCCACCTGCTGCACTGCCCATGAGCTGATCGCCTAGCCTCCTTTCTGTCTCATGGCATTTGCTCGCACAAAAACCTTCCTGGAAATATCCGTCAACACTTTCTGCACCCCCTTGGGGTCTTTAGCAACCAAATTCCCTTCCACGGGCTTCCTGACCCACCCGCCCACCGCACTCCCCACCGGCACTCCCCACGAGCTGACTAGCTACCCTCCTTTCCGTCTCATTGCATTTGCTCGAGCAAACACTTTCCTGGAAATATCCGTCAACATTTTCTGCACCCCCTTGGGGTCCTTGGCGCCCAAATTCCCTTCCACGGGCTTCCCTGCCCACCCGCCCGCCGCACTCCCCACCGCCTTCCCCCCCTCACAAAACGCCAAATAATACTCGATCTCGCAGATATCCGCCAGCTGGTGGAAAATCACATCCGGATTCTCCACGGGGCGAATCTCCAGCACGGCGGATCCGGGCGGCATGAAGACAATATCGGCGAGGATATTATCGTGCACTGATACCATGAGGAGCGCGCGGTTGAGCAGGTCTTTTCGGCGGGGGAGGGAGATGGAGCCTTCCCGGTAGATGACGACTCGCTCGGGGGGGAAGAGGCGGGTGAGGTGCTCGTGTAGCTTGAGGCTCTGCAGGAGGGATGCGCGCTGCTCCTTCCACCCCAGCAGCACCACCCAGTTGCTGCCGGGCGCGTATGCGCGTGGTGTGTAGGCCGGGGTGGCACTGGCAGGTCCCTTGAACCTGGACGTCCAGTCTGGTGGGGAGAGGAGAGGGGCGGGGAAGAGCACGTGGTTGAGGGGGGGGGAGATGGAGCCTTCCCGGTAGCATAGGCGCATGGTGTGTTGGCTGGGGTGGCAGGTCCCTTGAACCTGGAGGTCCAGTCTGGTGGGATGGCGCACGCACGTGGGATGTGGTGTGAAATAAGTGTTTATGTTTTGAGCACTTTCCTGAAGTGGCTCAACAGGACAGGATCATCATCTCAAGGTCTGGGATTGAAGGGAATGATGTTCAACGTATATAGTCTAGAGTGTCGTTACCTTACAGGCCAAACACCCCTCATCCTCATATCCTGAATCTGAAACCTTCACCCCGCCCAACTCCACCACCATGGTCACCCCAAAACCACACCTGTTTTGAGTCGACTCAAAACACACCTCATCCTCAGATCCTGCGTCTGACACCTTCACCCCACCCAACTCCACCACCATGGTCACCCCAAAAACCACACCTGCCATGCCCACAAGCCCCCCCACCCCTAGCCTGTAACCTCCACCCCCTCTCTCCTCGATTCCCCGCCCCCCCCATCCCCCCCACCCCACCCTCCCACCCCTCCCCCTTTCTCTTTGCGCGCCTTTTTTCAGTGGAAGCCCCCCCCCTCCCTTCACTCGCCCTGCTCGTACCAGCATTAAAGATGGGCAGCCCCCTGGGCGGCAGCAAGTGTCTCATTCGCAGATAGTGCCAAAGCGAGCGGCTGGGCTCCCCACACCGCTGGTGCAGTGGCTGGGAAAGGGAGGAGAGGGGAGGGGAGAGGAACGGAGGGGAGGGGAGCGGACGGGACAGGAGGGGAGGGAGGGGAGGTGAGGGGATTGGAGGAAGGGGAGGCAAAGGGAGGGGAGACAGGGGAGGGATGGGGTGAGATGATGCGGAAGGGAGCGAAACAGGGGAGTAGCGTGGGGAAGGAAGGGGGGAAATGAAAGAAGGGGGAGGCAGGGTGCCAGGGAAAGCCACTTCCACTCACAATGACGAGCTTCTCAGCGAAAAAGAATGAAGATTGTGAGCCTCGACCACACTCACGCTCATCCTGTCCCCTTGCACTCCCTGCCCATCCTCCACTCCCTGCCCATCCACCACTCCCTGCCCATCCTCCACTCCCAGCCCATCCTCCACTCCCAGCCCATCCACCACTCCCAGCCCATCCACCACTCCCAGCCCATCCACCACTCCCAGCCCATCCACCACTCCCAGCCCATCCACCACTCCCAGCCCATCCACCACTCCCAGCCCATCCACCACTCCCAGCCCATCCACCACTCCCAGCACATCCACCACTCCCAGCACATCCACCACTCCCAGCACATCCACCACTCCCAGCACATCCACCACTCCCAGCACATCCACCACTCCCAGCCCATCCACCACTCCCAGCCCATCCACCACTCCCAGGCACCAACTTTTCGCAGGACCTCAACCCCACCCTCTCCCTTCTCCCCTTCCCCTTCGCAACCCACTCACAATGACGAGTTTCTCTGCAAAGAACAGTTCCTTGGACTTGACCACGTGCACGTTCATTCTGTCCACCCGCACTTTCAATGACCACCTGTTGAGGCACCTCAAAACACCCTCCCATCCCCTCCCGTCTTCCCTTCCCCTTTGCACCCCACTCACAATGACAAGCTTTTCAGCGAAGAACAGGTCCTTGGCCTTCACCACGTGCACGTTCATTTCGTCCACCTGCACGCCCAGCACATCCACCGCCTCCCCCGTGTTTTGAGACGGGCATCCACCGCCGCCCCCGTGTTTTGAGACGGACATCCACCGCCTCCACCGTCTCAAAACACTTCTTCATCCACCTGCACGCCCAGCACATCCACCGCCTCCCCCATGCCATGCATGCTCCCCCACACCCACCCAGGCCACCCCCAACCCCCACTCACAATGACAAGTTTCTCTGCAAAGAACAGGTCTTTCGACTTCACCACGTGCACGTTCATTTTGTCCACCTGCACGCCCAGCACGTCCACCGCCCCCAGCGAGCACAGCTGCTCCAATCCGTTCCTCACATGCGGCCGCCTGTGCCCCACCGCCACTGGTATGCCCCTCATAGCCGGCAGAATGCGGTGCAGAGAGATGAAGAGCGGTATGAGGTCGAGCAGCATGGCGCGCGTGGACCAGGCGAACCAGTCGACGAGGGAGACAAGCTCTTTGAAGTGGGTGACGCGTGTGCGGTTGGCGGTGTAGCGGAAGGGCAGCGTCACGGTGATGTTGGGACTGCCCGCACACGCGTTGTGGTCGAAGAGATGGGTGGAGTTGAACACCTGGCCCACCACGTTTATGTACACGTTGCGCAGAACTAGGACCTGTGGGGGTGGGGAAAGGGGTGGGCGGGCGGGGGGGAAAGGAAGGGGGTTGAAGATGTGCGTGGAGTTGAACACCTGGCCCACCACGTTTATGTACATGCTGCACAGCACCAGCACCTGTTTGGAGCGGGAGGGAGTGGGGGATGCATGATTGGGGGCAGCCCCGCATGGGATTGCAGAGGGGAATGAAGATGTGTTGTGAGTTAAGCACATGCCCACGTTTAAGTACACGCTGCGCAGCACGGGGAACTGGTGGGGGTGGGGGAAGAAGGGGGGGGCGGGGGGGGAAAGGAAGGGAGTCGAAGCTGTGCGTTGAGTTGAACACCTGCCCAACCACGTTTAAGTACACGCTGCGCAGCACGAGGAACTGGTGGGCGTGGAAAAAGAAGGGGGGGGAGGAGGGAATGAGAAGAAGATACATGCATAGATATGCGAGGAGGATCAGCAGCCACTCCAGGTCATTCTTCTGAATGCACGTCGGGTCCACCTCCTTGCAATTCACAGAGCACCTCACCCAGCCAACCCCATTCCCATTCCCCCCTTGTCCCCCATCCCCCGCCTCCCTCCATCCCTTCCTCCTCAGCACCCACCTGAGCGGATCACTTGTTGTGCGGCAGCAGGTCATTCTTGTGAATGCACGCCGGGTCCACGCCCTTGCAGTTCACAAAACTCCTCACCCAGCCCTCCATCCATCCCTCCTACCCACCTGAGCGGACCACTTGTTATGCGGCAGCAAATCATTCTTCTGGATACACGTCGGGTCCACGCCCTTGCAGTTCACAGGAGGCCGCGTGGCCGCCCGCTTCTCATCCGCGATCCCTGCCTCCCAGCACGACCCAATCCCAGGGAACCGCTCGAACCCAAACTCAAACACCGGGCAAGCCGGCCCTCTGGACGCCTTGGGAGGCTCCAGACCCGCTTTAGCGGCGGTGAGTTGCGCCTCTTCGTTGTAACGAATCACGTCTAAGAGGACCGGGTAGAGTTCCGGTTGGGAGATGTTGGTCTGGAGCCGAGACTTGGAAGGAGGGATCCAGGAGAGGACGAAGCTGCCGTTGATTGGTGCCCACCGGGCTGCCGGACCTGGATGCAAGGTCCGGGGTTTGGTTGGTTTCAGAGGGTTGGGTGCGGATGATGCGCTGTGGCTAGTGGTGCTGCTGTCACCATCCCTGCCGTCACTGATGCCACTGCTGCTGCTGCTGCTGCTGCTGCTGCTGCTGCTGCTGCTGTCACTGCTGCTGCCACTCCAACCACTGCCACTATCACTACTGCCACTGCTGCTGTCACTGCTGCCGCTGCTACTGTAGCTGTCCCCCATGCCACCATAACCACTGCTGCCGCCGCCGCCGCTGCTGGAGCTGCTCCTCATATTGACGATTTCCGGGCCAGACTGAGTCGAATCCGAGAACCGTTGCTGCAGGATCGCATCCCCACCCCCTTCCCCCCTTCCGCCCCCTTCCCCCCTTCCGCCCAACCCCAACCGCTCTCCATCCGAGCGATCCTCTCCTCCCCGTGCCAACGTGCCAGCTGTCGCTCCTGGCGAGTCCACGTGGTGTAACCTGGGATTGCCACCTGCCCCCATTTCCCCTCCCCCAATCTCCCCAGCCGCTCCCATTCCGGCTGCCCCAAACCCCCCAGCTACAGCACCTCCTGATCGTTGATCTACCGAATTCCCCACTGTTGATCCTTCATAGTAGCCACCTCTACCACCGTACGCCCCTCCTCTCCCGTTATAGTCACGGCTCTGAAGCATTCTCCCGTCATCTGAACCCCACGGTTCCGCCTCCCGTGACCCCCCTCTTCTTCTGTGACTGTTAAGGAACGACTCTTCTGACGGATATGACGACGTTCTGAGAAACGACCTGTGGTTCAGAATCCACACTAGAAACGCGGCGCCTCCTATCAACAGCAGCAGCCGCGTGGTGCTGCTTTCGCCAAACGCGCTGCTAAGTCCATCGCCCGCGATCCCCCCGCCGCTGGCTCGCTTCCGAATAGGAGCGCGTTTCTTGGCTACCTTCACCGCCATGGCAGATTCCTAAAAATCTTTAAAATCCGTCTCAAGGAGATCAACTCGCAGGTTTCTTAGCCACCCTCACCGCCATGGCAGGCGGAGATGAGGAAGATCATGAATCAAGATTATTCTCTCATCGAAGGAGCGTCAAGAGGTGGCCAATCAGGAATCGAGCTACTTCGTAGGAGACTTAATCGATGATCCGCGGCAAATTAAACGCTGGACACTACCCGAGCTATCAGCTGATGACAGCTCCTTTGACTCAGAATCTTTTAGCATGAAGATTTCAGACTGCTGGGAATGTCGGAATTTCAGAATCGCTGACTCTCAGAGCCTAGAATCCGTGTCTAGAATCCAAATCCCTCTAAATCGTTTGGTAACGATTTCGCTCCCCTCCAAGAGGGAGGCATATGCGGCTGCTGCATGATTGAAATCGGTGCATCCTCGAAGAGTATGCAAGTGAAATAAACGCGGCGAGCTGATTCTTGGAGTGATTCGGGCTAACGAGCGTGTGCGGATTTCCGCAGGGCTTAAACGAACCCGGCGCTGCGATCCATCGTGATCCCCCGAATCGCCCCAGCGTTTCAGTTCCCGGGGTGCTACAAGCTGGCGTAACCAGCCGGAGAAGGTATGGCAGATGGTTTCTAGAATACTAAGATTCACGGCAACGGCTGAAGCAAATTACTATTTTGGCAGTCGGTATCTAGGGAGAGTCGCACGAGACGCGCACGTCGCTGCGCGCCGCAAATGGGCACGCGGCGCGAGTCCAACACTCCCAGTCAAAGAACCGTGACGCAATGCTGCTGATCACTTAGCGTGAGCCGAGAGTTGCAACGAACACGGGACTAACGCCGGTCGAGAAACGTCATCACATAAGTCGCGACGCGACAGACGAGGGGATATGGAACCTCAGGTAATGGGAACTCGAGAGCGCGGAAAGAATGGGTAAAGGAATGCCGTAGTTGCGGTGGCAGTATAATAGATGGGAATTGAAGTCTGCGCGACAAGTACAGGCACAAGTATTCTCTCGAGGTTCATTTGATCGGGTTGGGTTTGGGGAGGGAGGTGTGTTGTGTTGGTGTTCCCAAGAACACAGGTTGGGTGCACTTCTTCGCTTTAGCAGACCCGTTACAGCGTGTGGTCCCGACAGATTGTAGAGTGGGGGAAAGTTGTACCCGTTTGTCACTGAAGCCACGCTTCATCAAGTTTCAAGGCGTAAATGGTAATCATTAAGCATAATCGTTACTGCCAATTTAGCCAGATTTACTCACAGTGTTGATCGCATTCAAAACCACATCTCAGAAGTACTCAAACTTATACCGTCGAAACGCATCCGGCCCACGCTCCTCATACTCCTTCCGACTCACAGCCTGCCGCAGCAATCTCCTCCCATCCCCAGCCATGGCTGCCGCTCCCCTCCACGCATCCCAGAACACATCCCGGGCTTCCACAATCTTTATCCCACTCCCCATTGGCAGCACCTGCCGATACTCCGCCTCCAACCTGCCCCTCATTCCGGGCAGCAGCGAACTTCCTCCGGTCAGGAAGAGAAAGCTCGGCGGAACGTTTTCCATGCCCGAAACAGCAGTGGCAACCGCAAAAGCACCACTAGCTGACTTGGTTCTAGAATACAACGGGACTAGTCTGCTCCTTAGCTCCTCGGCCGTTCTTCTCACAGCTGCACCCAAACTTTCGCCCAAGCCTGCCCGGTCCAGCCCAATCAGAGACGGCTCGAAAATAATTTCAGCTGCCCGGACGCGCTCCACGCCGAGCCGGATCTGATAGTCTGCGTCGGTGGGCTGCCGAACCGAAGGTCCGGGAACGCTGGTAGCCGTGCCTGGAGCTGTGGTTGAAGCAGGCGCGGCATTGATGGAGACTAGGAAGGCTGGGTCCACCTCCTGAGAGAGACAGGGGGCCGTCGGGGGCGAATGGGGAATGGGGAATGGGGGACAAATAGGGGATGGGAATGACCGTTTCCCTGTAAAACTCGTAGTGGAAAAAGCATGGAACTAGGCCACATCACATGCACACTGCACCTACACCGTCACCCCAGTGAATCCCCTATCTCGTGCCCACTTCCTTCACCATTCCTGCACATTGCCTCACCTGCACCCCCCCTCACCTGCACCCAACCTCACCTTCACCCCACCCTGAATTGCACCTGCTGACAGCCCTCACTCTCACCTGCAGCCTGGCTCTCAGCTTCTCCAGCTCTGCTGCCTCCCTCTCCGCCTCCTCCTCCTCTTCCTCCTCCACGCCCTTAGCGCTCATCCTCTTATACACCAGCCAGTCCTCGTCAAACATCCCAAAATCACCTGCAGCCTTTCACTCACCTGCACCCAACCCCCACCCTCACCTGCAGTCTGCTTCTCAGCTTCTCCAGCTCTGCTGCCTCCCTCTCCGCCTCCTCCTCCTCTTCCTCCTCCACACCCTTCGCGCTCATCCGCTTATACACCAGCCAGTCCTCGTCCCTCATCCCAAAATCATCCTCCTCCCCTGCTCCCCCTCCTCCTTTCCTCCCTCCTCCACCCCCTCCTCCACCCCCTCCCCCTCCTCCTCCCTTCCCTCCGCCCGCGCCTCTCCGCCCTTTCTTACTCTCAAAAGCAGCAGCAGTCAGAAGCTTCATCCTCTCCCTGTGCGCAGCAGTAATCCGCTCCGTTCTCCCACCAGCCACACTACCAGCAAGGCCCCCTCCCAGCCCCACGCCAGTGCCCCCTGCAAGGCCACCAGCAGGGCCCCCCAGGGGGGTGATGTCTAGCTTGGCGCCCTTCACAGCCTGGCCTGACGCGGCCGCTGCTGCCGCCGCTGCGAGAGAGAGCACAGACGAGACAGCGGAGCCTGAAACCCCTCCTCCTGAAACCCCTCCTCCTGCTCCTGCTGCACTCGCTGCCGTTGCTCCTGCTGCTCCTCCTGCTGCCCCTGTTGCCGCTCCCGCTGCCCCACCTCCTCCTACCGCTTCTCCCCCACTGGCACCTCCTTCCGATCCCATGCCCTTCCCACCAGACTCTTCCCCTCCCACTGAAGGCGACGCCGCAGCGGCACCAAGAACCACGCCCCCTGCTCCCAGCTTCCTCCGCTTCCTCTGCTCCAAGGCCGCCTGCACCTGTTGGAACCGCGCCTTCAGCTCTGCTGCATATGCCTCTGGGTTCTCCCTGCAATGGAAACGAGAAGCAACAAGCAACAAGCAGACAGGAGCACACGGAGGGATCAAGCTGTTAACCATCCCTCCGCTTCCTCTGCTCCAGTGGCACCTGCAGCTGTCGGAACCGCGCCTGCAGCTCTGCTGCATATGCCTCTGGGTTCTCCCTGGAATGGAAACGAGAAGCAACAAGCAAGAAGCAGACGGGAGCACACTGAGGGACCAAGCCGTCAACCATCCCTCCGCTTCCTCTGCTCCAAGGCCGCCTGCAGCTGCTGACACCGCGCCCTCAGCTCCGCTGCATACGCCTCTAGCAGAAGCCAACGCAAGGAGGAGACACACAAGTGAAGTTGGTGAATAGGATCGGATCCCCCCAGCCCTGCTGCATGCAGCAATCTAATCTAATCTGCAACGCCTGCCCAAGCTTCTCACCAGTGCTCCATCTCCCTCTTTCCCACTTGGTTCATCCCCGGCCCTGTTTCACCTCCTCCCTCCTCCCCAGCGCAATCTTGAAGGGAGTTTTTGAGAATTCTCGAAAACTCCCTGTTTCCATCCTCCCTCCTCCCCAGCGCAATGTTCGAGGCGCCTCAGAAATAGGCCTGCAAAGCTTCTCACCAGTGCTCCCTCTCTCTCTTCCGCACTTGGCTCATCCCCGGCCCTGTTTCCATCCTCCCTCCTCCCCAGCGCAATATTTGAGGCACCTCAGAAATACGGCCTAAATCCTGCCCATCCGCTCGCCTCACCTTCTCTTCCGCTCCTCTTCATCCCTCTCAGCAGCCGCCTTAGCTCGCTTCTCCTCTGCTGCCTGTCGCATCCTCGCCTGCCCCAGCGCAATCCCTCGCATCGTCCGCTGCCGCCGCTTCTCCCTCAGCTGCCATGCAAAGCCGAATGCAGAAAAGGGTGAGAAAAAAGCTAATAGATATCCCAGAACGGAAAGACTAGAGGGTGGAGGGATGAGAAGGTATGGAGAGATGAATCGAGGATGCAGGAAAAGAGGGAGGGAGAACCCTACAGGACCACGAAAAGAGAGGAGAAAGGAGGACCCTACAGGACCACGAAAAGAGAGGAGAAAGGAGGAGTGAGCAGCAAGATGAGAAACGGAAGGGCATTCGTTTTGCTCACCTCCTCGGCCTGCCCTCATTCCCCTCACCTCCTCTACTGTCAGTTCTGCATCCGGGACATCCAGCCGCACCTGTCGGTGGTACACCACTGACTCATCCTGCTCTGTTGATTGAGCCAACTCACCACCTCTGCGCCCCAACTTCTCCTCCCACCTCGTCTGCTCTCAAACCCCTCCTCACACCTCCTCGGCTGTCAGTTCTGCATCCGGGATATCAAGCAGAGGGTACGGTACAGCACCAACTCATCCTGCTCCTATGAGTCGACTCTCACTGCACCACCTTACCTCCTTTGCTTGCCAGGTCACTCCTCTCTCACCTCCTCGACCGTCAGTTCTGTATCTAGGACATCAAGCAGACGGTACAGCACCGACTCATCCTGCTCCTCCTTTGAGTCGATTCGAAGTTACTCACATCAGCTCTTTTTTCACCTCCCCTCTACCCTCACCTCCTCTCTCCTCTCACCTCCTCAGCCGTCAGATCTGCATCCGGGATATCAAGCAGAGGGTACAGCAGCGACTCATCCTGCTCCTCCTTTGAGTCGATTCGAAGTTACTCACATCAGCTCTTTTTTCACCTCCCCTCTACCATCACCTCCTCTCTCCTCTCACCTCCTCAGCCGTCAGATCTGCATCCGGGATATCAAGCAGCGGGTAAAGCACCGACTCATCCTGCTCCTCTGCTCCACCAGCCACTGACCCCGTCTCCCTCTCCTCCCCTTCACCCTCGCCCTCCTCGCCCTCCCCCTCGCCCTCCTCCCCCCTCAGTTTCCTGAGAGTGGCCATGCTCTTGGCAAGCTTGGCTCGAGCTTCTGACAGGGTGGCACAGCGCACACGGGAGAGCAACTGAAGGTGTGGGGAGAGAGAGGAGAGAGGGGGGAGGGAGGACGGAGGGAAGGGAGGAGGCGGACGGGAGAGAGGAGGCAGAGGGGAGAGAGGAGAGGGTAATGGGATGTTGGAGGCGGGGGGGAAGGGAAGGAGAAGGGAGGGCGGAGGGTCGGTGGGGTGAGACAAAGCGAGGCTTCAGTCAGATGTAACTGGCAACTACTACTTTTGAGACGTCGCAAAACAGGAGCTTCTCCATACGTGACTGGCTGGTGCTCTCTCTTCATTGAGACGAATCTTGAGGCGCCTCAAAAGTCGCCTCAAAAGTCTTTTCCATACGTGACGAGCTAGAGCTTTTTATTGAGACGAAGAGCACGGAGAAGCTCCTCAATTGAGAATCATACGGCTGATCTCAAACACTCACCATGATCGCCTCTCTCCCTTCCGCCCCGTCCTCCACATCTTCGATCACCGCTCTCAACCCCTCCACCTCGCCCTCCACCTCCTCCAGCTCCGCCGCCCGCTTCGCCGCCCGCTTAGCAGCCGCCATGTCTCGCAGCCGCTGCCCCGCGCGCTCCTTGTTGGCCGCCCGCCTCGCCACCTCCTCCTCTGACGGGCCCTGTGGGGCCACGGGCGCCACCCACGGCAGCTGCCAGGAAACTACTGGGGGGTCTGGAGACTGTGTGGTGTGGGGGGTGGGGAGGAGGTGAGGGGGTGTGGAGGGAGGGAAGGGAGGGGAAGATGTGTGGGTTGTGGTGGTTTTTGAGTGGGCTCAAAGAGGGAGGGTGTGTAAGTGCACGGCAGCACGGGTATGCCATGCGCGCTCCTTGCTGCACGGCAGCACGGGTATGCCATGTCTCTTATCTCTTAGACGCTGCCCCGCGCGCTCCTTGCTGGCCGCCCGCCTCGCCACCTCCTCCTCTGACGGGCCCTGGGGGGGCACGGGCGCCACCCACGGAAGCTGCCAGGAAACTACCGGGGCGTTTGGGGACTGGGTGGAGGAGGGGTTGATGGGATGGAGGGAGGGTAAGGGAGGGAGTATAAAGGGCTTTAATGGCTGCTATTGCAGGTTCTGAAGGGTGTCTTCGTTTCCAGGCATGCTTGCTGTCGGAGCAAGCGTGCAATTGTGTGTGCATGGAACACGCAAAGATGGGCATGTGCATGGCGGGACAGGATGGATGTGACATGTGCATGGCGGGACAGGATGGATGTGACATGTGCATGACGGGACAGGATGGATGTGACATGTGCATGCATGCTGTCGTTACTGAAGAGTCATTAGAACGAACCTCCAGGGTCATTTGAGTGTCACTCAATGAATGACCGTCCCACCCTCCACAACCGTCCACAACCATGCACGACCATGCACAACCGTGCACAACGGTGCACAACTGTCTCACCTGGAATGCCTTCACTTCTTGCGAGTAGTCAATGGCTGCATACACACTCCTGCACTTCATCTACTTGCTCTCCCATCCCATGCATGAATGTCAGATATTTAGGCGCCTTGACATTTACCTGATGGTCACTCACCTGGAATGCCTTCAATTCCTGCGAGTAATCAATGGCTGCATACACACTCATGCACTTCATCTCCTCTGCTCTCTCCCACGTTATTACAGATCTGTGGTGACATGTGTGATGTGGCATGACAGAGTGACGTGGCATGACAGAGTGACATGGCATGAGAGGTTGATGTGGCATGACAGTGTGTTTGCATGCCTGTGAGAGAGTGCGTGCATGCATGTGTGTGTGTCCGTCCGTGTGCGTGCGCGCGTGTGTTTGTGTGCCTGTGCGACTGTGTGTATGAGTTTGTGTGTGAATGAAACATTTTGCCATGAAAGCTGGGATCAGGTCATACAAGACCGTGTTTGAAACCGGCACACAATGCACTCCTGTGACCTGCCAACGATTGATGAAACACTGTGTGCGGTGCGACCACAAAGCGTTGCAAAAAGGTACAGAGTGGTGCACGGATTGACATGCCATGAGGATATCACCTCAAGCAGAGGAAGAATGTAAAAAAAAAAAAGGAAAAACAATCGAAGGACAAATGAAGGGTGGGGTGAGGGAGAGGGGTGGGGTGGAGGTGGGGACGGGGGAGGTGAGATAAGAAGGCAGTGAAGAGGGGGCAGAGGTGCCTCGCCTGAGCTGTGGGGCACGTACGTGTGTTGAGGATAGAGCAGAGTGAGAAGGCGTTTCAGGTAGTCAGTGACGTGCCATCCGCCAACGGGAATGCGACACGTGGCGTCCAGCAGAGGCTGCCCTGCGATCATCTGCCTGCACATGGCGCCACATGGTAATGCACGATTTGTTCTTGATGGCAGCAGAAAAAAACACGATATAGCAAGCAAGCAAGCAAGCATGCATGCATGCATGCAGGCAGGCAGAGCAAGTGGTCCAGCCAGGGTCACAAGCTGTGAATCTGAGTCACGAGCCTCTGTGAATCTGAGTCACGAGCCTCTGTGAATCTGAGTCACGAGCCTCTGTGAATCTGAGTCACGAGCCTCTGTGAATCTGAGTCACGAGCCTCTGTGAATCTGAGTCACGAGCCTCTGTGAATCTGAGTCACGAGCCTCTGTGAATCTGAGTCACGAGCCTCTGTGAATCTGAGTCACGAGCCTCTGTGAATCTGAGTCACGAGCCTCTGTGAATCTGAGTCACGAGCCTCTGTGAATCTGAGTCACGAGCCTCTGTGAATCTGAGTCACGAGCCTCTGTGAATCTGAGTCACGAGCCTCTGTGAATCTGAGTCACGAGCCTCTGTGAATCTGAGTCACGAGCCTCTGTGAATCTGAGTCACGAGCCTCTGTGAGCTGATTCCTCAGTCTACCCAAAAATGACCACACGCCAGCCCAGCTGGGAAGTTGGCAACGAAGCAGAGGAGGGGTGAGGGAGCGAGCGAGATAGGGGAGGTGCAAGAGCAAGAGAGGGGGGTTGAGGGAGCAAAAGAGAGAGTGCAGGAGAGTGAGAAATACAGGGTGAGAGAGTGGAGAGAGGGCAGCAGGAGCACACGGGCATGACATGAGTCGTGGAGTGGCCGCAGTTGACCAGCAGACCGTCCGGCACAGAGTGGTGCTGTGCGGTGTTGAGGCGATAGCTGAACACCCCATCCACTCCGAATGCTGCAAGGGTGCAGGGCAGCCGATGCGGTGGAGAGGGGTGGGATGGGATGGCATGAGATGCGAGTGGAGCATTGGAGACGAGATGAGGGTATGAATGAGGCTCATTGGAGAAAAGGGTATGAGACCACTGGAGACGCTTTCAGTGAAACATGAGTGTGGAAGGATTGAGGACGGGAGGGGAGCGGAAGATTGGAGAGGAGTGGAGAGGAGTAAAAGTTGAGCAATGCAAGGCGAGGTTGAATGGTAAGCAAGGCAGGTGGGACATGGTGTGACAAGACATGACATGATATCCAAGTGACGCCCTGGCAAAGCACACAAGCTGACACACCTCTAGCAACAGACGGACACCAGAACACTCTCCAAACACCCACGCACGAAACGCCCCATCTCACTCCCCACCCCTCCACACCACACCACACCACACCACACCACACCACACCACACCACACCACACCACACCACTCCACACCACTCCACGGCAGGGATGCTACAACTGTATGTATTGTCTTACCAAGGGCAGGCACGCCGTAGGTTTCAAACATGAGTTCTGCTGTCTTGCCACGCGTGTACAGGGGCGCACACGGAGCCTCGGTTAATAACACAGGGTGGTTTACCCTGCCACCGCCTTCCACCCCCAATCGATCAAAAGCGTAATCAAAGATCTGCGAAGTAAGGAGGAAAATCATGAAAAGAGGGGCGGGGGGGGAAGGGGAGGGGAGGGGAGGGGAGGGGAGGGGAGGGGAGGGGAGGGGGAATGGACGCAGAAGTAAAGGGGGAGAGGGTGAGGGAGGTGATGCGTTTTGGGGCGACTCAAAGCACGTGAAGGAAGTTGTCTTTTGAGTCAACTCAAAAGGCGACTCAAAGCACGTGAAGGAATTTGTCTTTTGAGTCGACTCAAAAGGCGACTCAAAGCACGTGAAGGAATTTGTCTTTTGAGTCAACTCAAAAGGCGACTCAAAGCACGTGAAGGAATTTGTAAACGAAAGGGACGACCGCGGGATCGAGGACAAGAGTTGAGAGGAGAAGAAGGGGGTTGATCACAAACATATGGCAATCGCAGCGCTGTAGGAAGATAGATAGTGTTCCATCTATTGCAAGAGGGTTGGGTTGGGGTGCTTTTGAGAATTCTCAAAAACACCCTGCAGCAAGAGGGTTGGGGTTGGAGGGGACAGCATAGGTCGAGGGGGGAGGGCGAGGGTGGAGGGGGCGGAGGGGGGAGGGGAGGAAGAGCAGCAAGCGAGAGGCATACAAACGCATTCCATGAGCTCAAAGGGCGAGAGGGAGGAGAAGCAATAGATGACGTTGGACTCAAAGGGCAAGCGAGAGAGAGAGAGAGAGAGAGAGAGAGAGAGAGAGAGAGAGAGAGAGAGAGAGAGAGAGAGAGAGAGAGAGAGAGAGAGAGAGGGTAGAGAGAGAGAGGATTAGCCTCTCCCCTTCTACCCTCTGCCCTCTGCTTTCTGCCCTCTGCCATGACTACTTAAGGCCACGGCGGCCTCTCCATCTCTCATTCTTTCAGTTAGTGCTGAAAATTTTGGTGTTGTTCGAGAGAGCGAGAGAGAGAGAGGATTAGCCTCTCCCCTTCTACCCTCTGCCCCCTGCTTTCTGCCCTCTGCCATGACTACTTAAGGTCACGGCGGCCTCTCCATCTCTCATTCTTTCAGTTAGCGCTGAAAATCTTTCCACTGAAGTCGCAGCACTACTTGCCCCGTCCCGCCTTATAGCCTTCGCCAAACCAGGGGGGGGGGTACGTCCCATTGCGATTGGAGAGTCATTGCTTAGGCTGGCGGCGAAGGTGGCGCTCTCAGATCTGCAAGGAGAAACGCGAATTTTTTTCCTACCTCAGCAATTTGGCGTGGCAGTCCTTGGAGGTGCAGAATTTGTCATCCATGCTGTCCGAGACCTCACCACGGTGCAGCCCTCCAGCCTAGTACTCCAGCTCGACATTGAGAACGCGTTCAACTCAGTAGAGAGGAGCACGTTCTTCAACGCACTCATCGGCTCCCCACTAGCTCCCCTAATCCCCTTCACATGCTCTTTCTACGCAGCATCTTCACCACTGCTGCTGGACCCATGCTTCAATTCCACGGCACTCACCAGCGGAAGGGGAGTCAGACAGGGGGATCCCCTCGGACCTCTGTTATTCGCAGCGTCTATCCAGCAGCACCTCAGGCACGTAGCAACGGAGCACCCCGAAGTCACGGTCCTCGCTTACGCGGACGACATAACCATGATTGGACCCGCGGCGGCGACGCTGGAAGCGCTCAGGGAGCTCACGCCGCTGCTGGCACGGGACGGTCTCACCTGCAACTTTAGGAAGTCGTCGGCGTGGTCCACCGTGCCGCTAGGAGGGGACGTACTCCCCAAGGGCCTTCCCCTCACCCGCGAGGGGGTGCGGGTGTTGGGAAGTCCAGTGGGGTCGCAGAGCTTCTGCTCTGATTTTGTCCGCAGCACCCTGACGGACGCGGCAGCCCCCTTGGGCTCTCTGGCGTCCATCCACCCACAACACGCCCTCCTGCTACTGTCTCGTTGCATCAGCCGCAGAGTCGGCTACCTGCTGCGCACTACCCCAGCTGACGTCTTACCGCTCTCGGAATGGCACACATGGTGCGCCGAATTACTGAACACTGCCTTGACCGCCGCCAGCATTCAACCGCCACGCCGACAAGCCGAGTTCAACTTCCTTCTCCGACAGGCAACTCTCCCAGTAGCCCTAGGCGGACTGGGCCTTACGGACCCCACAACTGAAGCAGCACCGGCCTACCTGGCATCTACAACAGAGGCGCTGCGCCTGCTCCGCTCCCTGGACTTACCGGCAACCGCGCCGCTAGGGGCCGACAGCAACGCCCTGCAGCCGTCTGCAGCGCACTCCGTGACCATCCAGGACATGGAGGGGCGACTGCCACCGCTGGCGCTACAAAACCTACGGGAGGAGCAGCAAACCCCGTCCCAGGACCAGCTGCAGCGCGCCCTCTCCCAGGAAGTGCACGCGGCAAAGGCTGACGCCCTAAGAGAGGAGTCACGCGCAATACAGTCAGCCCCCGAGATGGGCCACACACTCCGCCTAGTCAGCCTGAGAGGAGAGGGAGCGGGAGTGTGGCTGCAGGCACTACCCTTGATTGACCCCGGACCTCTGCTTCTCACCGGGACAGTTCCGAGCGGCCCTGGCCTTCCGCATGGGCATCCGACAGAATGTACCAACCGTGTGCGAGTGCGGAGAACTCGTAGCCGACTGCAGCCTACCCAACCACTTACTCCGCTGCAGCACAGGCCCCAACAGGACGCGCACACACAACCAGCTGGCCTTCGCCATGGCTAAAATGGCGAGGGAGGCGCAGCTGGTGGTATACCTGGAGAATGCGATGTACTCACCTCCGGATGACCCGAAGAAGGCAGATGTGATTGTACAAGACCCGGACAGTGGAGAGCCCTGGATCACAGACACCACGATCACTGACCCTGTGCTGCAGAACCGAGACCCTACGGCCCGCAAACCCCCAGGTTGGGCTGCAAGGGAGGCACAGAAGCGGAAGGAGAGGGACTACTACCGACACACTGAACACGTGGTGTTCTGCGCCCTGGCCGTCGAGACCTATGGGGCAAACGCGCCCCCCACGACGGCGTTCCTGAAACTGCTGGCCACAGCAGCAGCTAGGAACCGCTTCAGGGCCAGCCCCTTGGCGAAATCCGCCAAGAAGATGGCCTACCACTTCAGCCAGCGCTGGTCAGTGGCCCTCCAGCGCTCCCAGGCGAACGCCCTGCACACCAAGGCCAGGGCTGGGATTGAGGCAGCACACCCCCAGATGGCAGCGGACCCCTGGCCGCTGCACCTGGGGGACATCCTCCACACGCTGGAGGGCTAGAGGGTCACTCAGGGGGGAGGGGAGGGGAAGAGGGGTGAGTTGATGGGCTTATGGGATTGAGGTTATCATGGATAGAACTGCATGTCTGTACCCCTGCTGAATTAATACAACGGACCATTTGAGAGGGTAGAGAGGGCGGAAGAGGAGCGAGGGAGGGTGGTCGTGTGTGGAGGTCAAAGGAAAGGGGGGCCATACGCATCCCATGGGCGCTCGAAGTTGTTGATGACTCTGGTTGGACTCAAAGGGTGATCGAGGGATAGTGAGGGAGGGCGAGGGGGGGAGGACAGGAAGTTGGTGAAGGCCATGCCATACATGAGCATTCCATGAGCTCGAAGTTGTAAATCACGTTGGACTCAAAGGGGGAGCGAGGGATAGGGAGGGGAGGGGAAGGGAGGGAAAGAAGCGAGGGAGCGAGGGCAGCAAGTGGGTGGCTGGCGGCCATACGTACGCATTCCATGAGCTCGAAGTTATAGATGACGTTGGACTCAAAGGGCGATCGGATGCTCTGCCGCCCAAACTCCAGCGTCCTCAGCGCCGGCCACGCGGGGTCCCAGTCGCCCACCACTGTCACCTGCGAGCCTGGCGTGGAGGGGTGTGGTGGGGTGCGGTGGGGTGTGGTGGGGTGTGGTGAGGCATGGTGGGGTGTGGTGGGGTGTGGTGGGGTGAAACGGCTTGCAGCAGGAAGATGGAAGTGAGTTGTGGTGCAGAGCGATGGCGAGGAGATAGGCGACACGAGCATGGGGAGGGAGGGGTGTGATACCAGTCGCCCACCACCGTCACCTGCGAGCCTGGCTGTGAGGTGTGGTGGAGATGGGTCAGCATGGGCAAGGAAAGGGGGCTGCTGGGGAGTGGCGGTGGGGTGAAGGAACATAGGGAACTGAGGGGTCCCATCCCATCCCAGGCGCCCACCACTGTCACCACCGTCCCATCCCATTCTGGCAGTAGGTTGAGGTGGGGTAGGGGTGACTTATGATTAATAATTATTATTATTATAAAAAAAATCTGTACAGTGATGTGAAGTGAGGGAGGAGGAGAAGAGGAGATGACGAGAATGGGCGGCGCAGCACAGCCTCTCACTTCTCATCCTCTCACACTCTCCCGCCCCTCCATCCTCACCCCCCTTTTCCACCTGCCGTGCCCGCTCCACAGTCCACGGTCCACCCTCACCCCCATTCTCCCCCGGCCCCCCGTTCCCCCCTACCCCCTCATCTTCCCACCCCCACCGCTCACCCCAGTCCTCCCCGCTCACCCCCGCTCATCCCTCCTCACCCCACCGCTCACCCCCGCTTATCCCCCCTCGCCCCTGCTCGCCCCCGCTCGCCCCCGCTCACCCCCGCTCACCCCCGCTCACCCCCGCTCACCCCCGCTCACCCCTCGCTCATCCCCGCTCACCCCTCGCTCACCCCTGCTCACCCCTCGCTCACCCCTGCTCACCCCCGCTCACCCCCGCTCACCCCCGCTCACCCCCGCTCACCCCCGCTCACCCCCGCTCACCCCCGCTCACCCCCGCTCACCCCCGCTCCTAGGCCGCGGACGCCCCACGACGCTCCTGAAGTCCACCCGCGGATCCGCCTCCCCGCCCCACCTGCGCGCATGGCAGACGTGGGGGAAACGGGGGAGGGGGGAGGGGGAGGGAGGAATGAGGAGAGGAGAGACGGGTTGGGGATGCAACGAAGAGAGGGGTCGGCAGAAGAGGAATGGTGACAAGGTACGAAGCGAGGGGGGTTGGAATGGAATCGAGGGGCTATAGCGACGCGAAAGAATTGGAACAATGGTGGGGAACCGTTTGAGGCGCCTCAAAAGGAGGCTATAGCGGAAAAATGGTGGGGAAAAGGAATGGAGGGAGGGTGGGGGTGAGGGGGAGGGGAAGGGGAAGGGAGTGAGGGGGAGAGGGGGGTTGTTGCATTGGAGGGAGATAGCAGCAGACGCCACCGGGAATTCCCAATGCCGCCTTACTTATTCCGCCTTACTTATTCCGCCTTTCGCGTAACCTGAGTTGACTATGGGAACCACCCATCCTAGGTAACACCTACCCTCGATAACACCTGCTCCAGTGAACGCCTATCCCGAGACTATTCCGCACCTATTCCGCGCCTAACCCGCGCCTACCCCGCGCCTATCCCGCGCCTACCCCGCGCCTAACCCGCGCCTACCCCGCGCCTAATCCGCGCCTACCCCGTGCAGCACCCGCCCTATTCGGCAGCGGTGCGAGCCATTGTCGATGACCACGAACGAGTCCTAGGTAACACCTGCCCTGGTTAACACCCATCTTCGGTAACACCGGACTTCAGGGAAAACCCACCACCCCGGACGGCACCCACCCTATTCGGCAGCGGTGCGAGCCGTTGTCGATGACCACGAACGCGTCGCTTCTGCCCGCGTATTTTGCGCGATAATCGCCGCAACGAGCGGGTCGCTCAAGCACCCCGCCTCCCCCTCCTTCCCTGCCTCTTCCCTCGCCGCCTCTTCCTTGTCGACCACCCCGATCGCGGAAATCGCGGTAGTCGCCTCCGTCATTCCCGCCGCCATCGGCTCCACCATTGCTTCTACGCCCGCGATCGGCGCCGCTCCGCTTCCCTAAATACCGGTCGGCTCCCCATTCGCCGAACTGCAGCACCACGGACGAGCCGCGGAGGGTTTGCGATCCGTCAGCGGCGTCGGAAAGCGTCGAAGCGCGGGTAGGTACGGGAGTCATACGGACCGTTCTTTGGCAAGTCTCAGGGCACGGGACTCATACGGACGGCTGAAATCGACTAGTCAACTTTGAAGGTCAGCGACATGTTTCATGGGGTCGTCCGAATACGGCTCGGTGAGATGCTACACGTTCTACAACGTTCAAATTGGTATATTGATTAGTCGGGATGGGTAAGGGCGGGTCAAAAGAGTACGTCCGATTGCGGTTCAGAAAGGTTAAGGCTTGATCCAGAGCGGTCTTTTTCTAACACGAGATGGTTGGGTAGGGTTTTCTGCGAAAACGTGCTAAGTTTGACCCGCCCTAATGAGCAAACGTGAGCACATTGGACGCACCCAGCCAGCAGCAGTAGTATATAAATGGAAGTGCGCTATAGTGGTTTCTGTAATCCGATAAGGAGCAACTCAGTTGGTGTTGAAGTGACATAATGACTTTGGGGAGAATTCTTGGTGACGCACTTGGGGAGAATCTGTTCAAGGCAGCAGTTTTGGAACACTCGGAGTTACTGCTGCTGATGCTTATATTGTAAAGTTGATTTCATCCTAAAAAACACGGTATTCTTTCTGTACAAACCAGGTGTGGAATGGATCTAATAAACGGATAATGAAGCTGTTCGTAAGGACCTTTGCTCTTGCACACACGAAAGGTCAAATCGCCTTGGGACCAGTCGAGGGGCCGTCCCTTTTGTCAGGAAAAGAACAAAAGATTCGACAGACCAGTACACGTAATGCTCGTTTACAGAAAAAATGAGGAATAATCAACTGCATGCTCGCTTCTTTCACAGAGAAACACAGGGTTCGCCCCGCTCGATAGAATGTGCTTAACAACATCGCTTAAAACGGTTGAGACGAGACAGCAGTAAAAACCAACCACAAAAAAAGAAGAGCACAGACAGTCGCATCGCATCGCAGACACAAAGTATTTCATACAGGCAAACACATGCTTGTTTACAGTCAAGCCATTGCAGTGACGATGTTATGGTGTGTTCCAGCCACTTCAAACTTCAAGTTCTCTGTGAATGTATACGTACAGCGTGTACTAGCTCTCAAGAATTCAAGCATCACAGCGGTATGGCTACGGCAACTGTACTTGTTCACCGTGATATCATTGGTGTTTGCAGTTGAATCTCTTTGACATTATGCTGAAAGCGTGGATGAATGGATCTTTTAGGCAAGGGGACTGCAAGTGACCCGAAGCAGTTCCTCCTGCGGAGGTCGCAGTGGAAGAAACACAATGGATTAAGCTAAATATTTGAGCACACACACAGAGTATCTCGCGGTCCAGAGTACTTGCTGATATGCACAGAGTACAAGTTTATTGAAGCCCTGTAAATTAGGAAGAATGTCCTGGTATCGACCGGGCTATTTGGCATGAAATCGTTTCATGAAATCCGTCCGTTTCCCGTGCGGGACAAGTTCACGTGCAGCCAAATTTAATGCAGCCCGCGTGTCCACTCGTTACCAGCCGCCGTTCAATCCCACCACCAACCACGCCCTCACACGCTCCATATCTTTCCTGGCGGTGTGTCTTGGGCCGCGATGCACACTCCTCTTGAAACGAAGATGTGTCTGCCCGAACAGTTCAGTTCAAATCAGGGAGATTGGGCTGCCACCCAACTGTCCACAGTGGCTGCCCTGCCCACCCGTGTCCAGAAAAAAATCGAAGCTGGCATGGTTCTGATTGGGTCCGCCGACTCCTGCCACTTGCTCTCGCATCGACCAAGGCAATCCGCTCCGATTTTAGCCGGAGCTACTGTACAAAGAGCACCGCGCACAACATGAGCGCGAGCTGGCGCAAATCCCTTGCCTGGTGCGGACGCAACCCATGATCCACACTGCACTGCAGAAAGGTCCCGCCAAGGTCCTCCCTCCACCGCGGAACTCCATCCGCCTCAACGACCAGACTTCCCCCTCCTCTTCCCCCTCCACCCCCTTCGCTTGCCTCCCCTCCCCTCCCCTCCCCTCCCCTTCCTCCCACATCCAAGCCAACACATCGAGTTTTGCCAACGCTTCATCCTCTTGACGATCTTGCTTGGCTGAATCAATTTGTTTGTTACCGTTCCGAGTTTTCTCACCAAGCTTGCTTGTCCAGTTTCGTTTCTAGGCTTTTTTCACCCAAGGGTTTGTCAGATTGGAGCACCTAAACTCGAGCCGCGCAGAGTCAATCCCTGTGAGCTAAGGCTTAGCTTCTCGCACTCCCTTGGGTATTTCCTCATAATGGTTGACCTCGTAGGGCGTTTTCAGAGTGATCTAGGCGCCGCGGGTCCGAGCTTGACTCTCGGGCCACCGGGGCGCTGGCTCGAGCAATCCCATGTTACAGAATTGGAACTTGGCAAACGCAAGGCTCGAGAAGTGCCGTCGCCGTCGAAATCTCGACCCCAGGAAACAACATCGTCGGAAGAGTGAGTCCCGTGAAGCGGCAATTGTGGCTCCAAGCCGCTGAGACTCTACCGATCCATCCTTAAGTTCCGCCGCCCGTTTCGTCCCTAACGTCGAAATTACTTTTGCCTGTGCGCAGTGTGAGACTTATGAGTCCGATGATCAAGAGCCCTGACTCTTCGAGACCTGCTCGGAAAAGGTGTGAACTCGTCGAGATTCTCTAACAGTTCTGTGCATTTTCTAGGGTTGCGCTTTTAAAGGGGCGCGGCGGCGGAATGATTGCTTACGACTCGGAGTGCGTGTCGTGTTTTTTCACAGATCGCGTGATGATCTGGAAGAAGCGGGGCTCAGCAAAGCACAACGAGAAAAATTGCGTCGCGACCGACTTAATGACAGGTACAAGCCATGACGCGATTGACGCTCGGAATAGCTTTATAAGTCTCACGGGTACTTGCACTTGCGTCGCGCCTTTAACGTGTATTGATTATATCTGCGGTTTTGTGTCGTCGAAGTTGTTTATTTATTCATTTATGTTATTTCCTTATTTTTTCCTCCCCCTTTTCAGGTTTCTTGAGCTGGGCCGAGAGCTGGATCCTACCACGACCCCGCGGACGGACAAGGGCATAATTTTAAACAACGCCGTTCGTGTGCTCACTGGTCTCAAGGCGGAGGCTGCTGCTCTCAAGCAGGGGACATGGCAGCTCCAGGAGCAGATCAAGGAGCTCAAGGTGAGAAAAAACCGGCTTGTTAGGTATTTTACTTAACTGAAGACAAACTGAAGATCCTCTTTGTTTCGATTATATGTTTGTTTGCTTTTTTTTCTGCTTTTTTTTCTCTTCTGAATCTCCATTGCCATCGGTTTTG